TGTGTGTGTGTGTGTATGTATGTGTGTGTGTGTGAGAGAGAGAGTATGCGTAATTGAAGATGTGTATGCGGGGGTGCATGCGTGGATATATGCATATGCGAGTGTGAGTGTGTGTGTGTGTGTGTCTGTGCGTGAATTCATGCATGTGTGAGTACGCATGTGTGCCTGCGTGCATGCGCGTTTATATGTGACGGACTTACCCCCATGGGAGGGGTTCAGGCCCATGGTTGGGGTAACCTTTGACCGTCCAGCGGGCCAGGAGGGAAGCCTCACCAAAACACCAGTGTGTCAGGTACAGTAGACTGCCCAGGCCCAGACCAGACGTGACCCAGCTACACTGGCCGTCTGATTTCTCCGCTGTAGGGGGAGACTCAACCACTGGGGTCTCTGAAATGAATCCAATAGATAACAGATAGATGTGACTTTTTTACTGGAGCGTCAGAAACAAATATCAGCTGAATGCGCTGTGGACACTTTAAATACATTTTCCTCACCTAACCCAGAAGAGAATGGGTACAAGTCCAAAGACAGTGAAAGACCTTGCAAGTACCGTAAATCAGTGTTTGAGTGCCTGTAAAACAGTAACTTGTACTGAATGGTTCTTAGGAGGCAGAAAATGTCTTAGAATGTACAAGGGTCTGTCAGGGTTATAATAAATGGGAGAACACAAAGAGCCAACTCTTGAGCCGGAACAAGTGCTATAAACACAATTCATCATTGTTTTTATTTTTATAAGTAATCCAAGGTTTTTACAAATTCTTTGGGAGTTGGATGAAGAAGCTGAGCTGAGGGTTTCTCCTCAAGATGCAAGTCTAGACCCAGCCCTGCCTGGGGAAAAAAAAACCAAACCTCCTATCTACTGGCTACAGATACCAGAATCCACTCTAAAAACCAAAAAAAAATTATTTTTTAAAATTTAAATGACAGAATTTCATTCATACAGATATCATCAGAAGCACCAGATTGGCTCTACCTTCCAGAATATATCCTAATGAGGAGACAAGTCCTGCAGCCAAAACGATGGAGTTGCTGTACTGGTCCCACCATGCAGGAACGAATGACGTGAACCATACACGGCTCGCCAAGTAAGCATGATAGCCAACAATCAAGCCCCAGAATGTCCGATACCTGGGAAAACAAAAATACTGAGCAACACAGCAGAACAATTATGATGAGCTACATGATATAGTTTTTCTGTGAATATTTAACAGACAACATCCTCCACAAAAAAGATATAGGTCTATGTGTATAGAAGCAAAATTGAAACACTTCAAGTTGAAAAATACAATTTGCATAGAGCAGTAATAAAGTCCATTCACCTTAGACTGACATATAAAAGAGCAAGTGTGAGGCATCGTGGTGAAATCAAACGCTCGTCAAAATAGTGAAATCAAAGAAACTGGCATTTTTCTGTCCGTTTGGCAATTTAAAAATTTGGGGGGGGGACTTAACACCTTTAAAATCCATTAAAAAACACATATATACTAAAAAAGGCTGATTAAGGCACAAGAAAGTCAATCTGCTGTTTCTAAAGACTCTCTAGCTTCAGAAGTCGCCAAACCTTGGCCGTCATTTTCTTGCTAATTTTACCTCTGAAATCAGGCAACACCCCACCACCCTCAACCTCAAATATCTCAACTTCTATTCATGACAGATGAAAGCAAGACAAATGAACAAGCTTTAAAATCATACCAATAGTTCCACATGTCCAAAAATTGACGAGCGCCTGATTCCACCGTGTTGTGACAAAAGTAATTGAGGAGGGGTAACACGAACAGACAGAATGTGTCAAAAAATAGAATTTATTTCCAAGAGCATCCAGTGTTTAGACGTTATATCTTTTCCGTCTGTTACATTCCAAACTATTTTTCCCAAATCTTACCCATTAAAACCTAGTGACAAAATTTTTACTCTCTATTTTTCTTGTGATATCCCTTGTATTCCCCATGCTATACAACTATCACTGTATGAACAAACTTTTCCTAAAACCTGACTGGGAAGCACTACCTTCTCAAAACTATTCCAGCTCTCCTGCATTAACCCTTTGAGCCCTGACTCTCAGCAGAGTAAATATGATGAATTTTATACACAGGCTCTTCCGCTCAGGGAAATGTGATGTTTATGTTTAAACGTGCAGGCTGAGCAGACGGAAATGGGTCAACTCACCTCACAGCTTTGGCTGGATGCCACAGTGTTGCAACAAGGACCAGCATTGATATCCCTGCCCCTCCCCCCAGGACAGCCAGTCTAAGAAATGTTGTGTTTGCCTGATAGGACACCAAGCTACACACTGTGAGCAGTCGCAACAGGGTCAGAACCTTCAGAGTAAAAAAAAAGATTATTCAGATGAAATTGACTCAACAAAAATATAAATAACTCGTAATAATTCAGACAAAAAAACACAGAAAAGTAATAAAATAAGGATCAGTCTTAGTTCTTTCAACACACGTACAATAAAAAGTATAATTTCATGTTGAAAATTATTCTTTTTATTAAGCAAATGAAAAGTAAATCAAAGTGACAAGAAAGCACAAGAACTCTTTTGAAACTTAAAATAAAACTTCAGAAACTGGTGATATGTTGAATAGAACCAGTTAAAGGTAAAAACAGTATTCCTGTTATTCAACAGACCAGGCAATATGTTGGACCTCCAAATTCAACAACAGGAGAAAAGGTTTTCATTTCACACAGTCTTGAATTTCTTTACACAGAGTCTTAGATTTTTCTATCTCTAAATAAGCATACCCATTTATTTTGAAGGGCTGGAAACACAGAAGTACACAAATCAAAGTGCTGGCAACATAAAGTAAGCACACTCTTTCACTTTTCAAAGTAAATATACCCATGTACTTCAGAAACTAAACATGCCCATTCATTTAACACAGTAAACACACCCATTTATTTCACACAGTAGACATACCCACTTATTTTGAAGTGTTGGCAACACACCCGGAATCAAACAGAAAACAGGAGATAGCCACACAACTGCAAAAGCTTCATATCCTGATATTTCAAGTTCATTCAGGGGGTAGAACCAGATCATTGGCGCAAGTCCTTGAAATATACTCCAAAACACATACCCTGAGAGAAACAAATACCTCCAGTAAGCAAGCAAACATACAATCTCCAGGCAAAACGTAACAAAATACAGTTGTACCTGTGTAAGATGGCGCAACACATTGTTGAGAAGAAAAGTGGCTATATAAGACAAGTGGCTGTCATACACAAAACTGACCAAAATGAGAAAAACAAACCATTTACTTCTGTAGTGGTATATGATAAATTCTAAACAACTACTTGACAGAGAAGGTTCAAATTTGAGCACACTATGGAGGAAAGATAGATCTCTTTAAACCTTCCCGGCGTTGAATATCAAGCTCCTTTCAGTTTTCGGTGTACCAAATATGAAAGTGTTTCAGACACCAAAAGTATAGGTTAATTTATGAGTACGAACTTCGACTTCCTCATAGGGCCTAGCCTTCTATCATTAGTTTGCCTTATTTTCTGATTGGTAACCAAGTTTCATTCACATTAGTCCAGCAATAGTGCAGAACAAGCTCAAGAAAGTTAGTCCCTTACGTTCCGACCCGATCCAAAAATCCACCCGAAAACGGGGACCAAAATTTCCCCGTGCGCGGAAGCCCAATTGGCATTGCTAACCAAGGCATCTTTGCAGTTTGCATAAAATTGCATTTAATTTTTCTATTTATAGAATTATGAAAACCAATCATGATAGTTTCGTTTCTAGGCGTTAAAAATTTGACAAGCAATACATGTTTTTAAAGAGGGAAAAATTGTTCTTAAGAAGGATTGTGTCCATGTCTGTATAGACACTGTTGAGATTAAATCATAAAGACTTAGGCCTCGGCTAGTAACTCTAGAGTCAATGTGCCAGACAGCAGGCAGTTAATGAGGTCAAGTGGCTGTGACTCTTGTGCGTGAAAAAAAAACATGAATAGGCATGTGTGGTCACATGACTGACCCATTTCTTCTCACTTTGAATGCTATTGCAGTGATCTCCCTTGATTTGTGTGCTGGGAGCAGGTCGAATCACAATGCCTCTCGAGGTGCCGTGACTGCATCAGTTATTTTTACGGTGCGCGGCAATTATGCCCTCACCGCTTCATTTTGCCTGCCCAGTGAGCAGCATTCCATGCCATGGTTCTTTAATTATACAGAGAGAAACTTGCATTACTTGCATACTTTACTTGTTTTTCATTGTTTTCATTCATTCATTTATTTATATGCATTCAGAATGACCACTCATTTTGAAAAGAAAACATTTCTTGTTCAAAAAACAAAATACAAATATAAGAAATGAGGTAGTAAAAGTTCTCTTACCCCTCCCCCC